TTTAAAATAAATAACTTATTTTTAACTTTCATAAAAAATATTTTTTTCATTTTTTAAAAAAAAAATTATAACCTTATTAAAAAACTATGAGAGATTCTTTTTTAAAAAAATAAAAAATTAAGCTCATTAAGGTGATGTTCTCTTTGTGTTTCAATTTTGTGTTTTGCGTTTTTAATTTATTTTGAATTTTGTGTTTTGAGTGTCCATTTTGAGATTTTTGAAAACGTGTTCTTTTTGACATTTTGAAAAATGGTTTTCAAAAACTAGAAAATGTAAAACCCATTCTCTTTCCCTTCCTCACTTCACTTCACAGGCGGTTGTTGGTTTGGGTGTTATGGTTGGATGTTGTAGTTGACTGTGGTGGTTGGGGGGTTGTGACGTCGTGATGGTTGCTGTGGCGGTGGTGGGAATGCAATTTTTTGTTGTGGCGATTTTGGTTATGGTTGGCCGCGACGCTACTGTGGTGGCTATGGCGGCGGTTGGGTCGCGATTTTTTGGCTGTGGCGGTTGGATCGCGATTTTGGTTGCTGTTGCGTCTCCATTTTGGCTGTGGTTTTGTGGCTATTCGGTGGCAATTTTGCGGTGGTGGGTCGCCATTTTGGCTGGGCGGTGGTGGTCTTTCTGGTGGCGATTTTGGCTGTGTCGGTGGAGATATTTCTAGTAGCAATTTTTTGGTGGTTGGGTCGTGATTTTGGTTGTAGCAGTGGGGGTTTTCGGCAGTGATTTTGGTGGTGGTGGACAGATGGTGCAGCGGTAGTAGGGTTCTGGTGGTGTAGTGATGGTCAAGAGAGAACAATCGGCCAGAGGGAAGGAATTGAAATCGTGGTAGTGGAGGATTGAAAATGGTCATTTCCCTTGTTTTGCAATTTTCCCTGTTTTTGCTTGAAAACGGTCAAAACGATGTTTTTATCGTTTTGTGTTTTGTGTACAAATTTGTTATCGTTTTCAAAAACGCGTTTTCAAAAATAGAAAAAAGAACGCGTTTTCATTGTTTTGGAAAATCGAAAACAGAAAACGACCCAAAACAGCCAAAGAGAACAGCACCTAACTGTCTAAGTGTTTTCGACCTCTTATTTAGTCCATCATGTTATTAATTTAGTCATGTTTTTTAAATAGAATTAAGGGGTACTACTTCAAAATAGAAAGGATGTTTTCTGTTGAATTTTTGGGTTTTTAATTTTTTGAGGCACCTCTAGAATTGAGGCCCAAGGCAATGGCCTAGGTTGCCTTGGGCCAGGGCCGGCCCTGCATGGCCTTATCTAAATCAACATTGTAAAGATAATTTATTTTTTGAACTATCCAATGACAACATACCACGTGACATATTATCAACAAGGATAAATCTATATGTACATAATTATTGTATATAATGAATTACATAGACCCATGTGAAAGAAATCCGACCGTGGATGTGAAGTGTGGAAAAGTCAAAAATTGTAGACTACCGATGGATGCGCGCCACATGTCAATTATGTAATGTATTATATAAATGATTATGTACTTGTAGTACGGTCATTGTCAACAATGTTGTTGACAACATTATGCAACTAACACGATTGTGCATGCATGGAGAGATGAAGTTTCTATGTAGCCACCAGAAGATCAACACCCTGCAAATGGGTTAGAATCCCTCATTCTGTTGAGCCTAAGCTTGTCAGCAACAGCAAGAATTAGAGCTAGAGAATGCGAATGAGCATACATGGCCTTATCTAAATCAAGGATCAACTATCCCACTCTGCAAGCGCGCTTTCCTATCAGAACAAGTGGCTTGTCTGCTCCTCCTGCACCCATAATTAGAAAGGTTGAGATCGAGATTATAATGTATCAACTCTCACTAGAAAGTTTATACTTCTTACAATGTAGTCCGATATGATATCACGATGATTGAAGATGTTGAATTCAAGATTTGCATTCAATCATTCATGAAAATTGTACAAGTGCAACAGACGACAGGGCATATCAACGACTAAATATTAACAAATTAGAAGTTAAGAATAAATAATTTAACTATTTTGATAATAAAGTAATTACTTTAAAGAAAGCAACATTGTTTTTTATTTGAAGGTAAAAAAGATTTTTTGTGTTTTGTGTACAAATTTGTTATCGTTTTCAAAAACGCGTTTTCAAAAATAGAAAAAAGAACGCGTTTTCATTGTTTTGGAAAATCGAAAACAGAAAACGACCCAAAACAGCCAAAGAGAACAGCACCTAACTGTCAAGTGTTTTCGACCTCTTATTTAGTCCATCATGTTATTAATTTAGTCATGTTTTTTAAATAGAATTAAGGGGTACTACTTCAAAAAAGAAAGGATGTTTTTTGTTGAATTTTTGGGTTTTTAATTTTTTGAGGCACCTCAAGAATTGAGGCCCAAGGCAATGGCCTAGGTTGCCTTGGGCCGGGCCGGCCCTGCATGGCCTTATCTAAATCAACATTGTAAAGATAATTTATTTTTTGAACTATCCAATGACAACATACCACGTGACATATTGTCAACAAGGATAAATCTATATGTACATAATTATAGTACATAATGGATTACATAAGCCCATGTGGAAGAAATCCGGCCGTGGATGTGAAGTGTGGAAAAGTCAAAAATTGTAGACTACCGATGGATGCGCGCCACGTGTCAATTATATAATGTATTATACAAATGATTATATACTTGTAGTACGGTCATTGTCAACAATGTTGTTGACAACATTATACACCAAACATGATTATGCATGCATGGAGAAATGAAGTTTCTTTGTAGCCACTAGAAGATCAACACCCTGCAAATGGGTTAGAATCCCTCATTCTGTCGAGCCTAAGCTTGTCAGCAACAGCAAGAATTAGAGCTAGAG